GAACAGCAACAAGTGGAAAACTTATTTGAACAAATAATAAAGGAGAACTTCCCCAATCTGGCAAAGGAAATAGACTTCCAGGAAATCCAGGAAGCTCAGAGAGTCCCAAAGAATTTGGACCCAAGAAGGAACACACCAAGACACAGCATCATTACACTAGCCAAGATTAAAATGAAGGAGAGAATCCTAGAAGCAGCAAGAGATAAGGGGACAGTCACCTACAAAGGAGTTCCCATCAGACTGTCAGCTGATTTCTTAAAAGAGACCTTACAGGCAAGAAGGGGCCGGAAAGAAGTATTCCAAGTCATGAAATCCAAAGACCTACATCCAAGATTGCTCTATCCAGCAAAACTTTCATTTAGAATGAAGAGCAGATAAAGTTCTTCTCAGATAAGGTCAAGTTGAAGGAGTTCACCATCACCGAGCTTTTATTACATGAAATGTTAAAAGGACTTATCTAAGAAAAAAAGATAAAAAATATGAACAGTGAAAGGACAGCAAACTCACAGTTATTAATAACCATACCTAGAACAAAAGCAATCTAAGAGGACAGCTAGATCAGGAGCAGAACCATAGAAATGAAGATCACATGGAGGGTTAGCAACAGGGGAGTGGGAGGACGGGGGGAGAAGGTACAGAGAATAAGTAGCATAGACAGTTGGTAGGAAATAGACAGGGGGGAGGACAAGAATAGTATGGGAAATAGAGAATATAAAGAACTTTAGACACATGGACATGAACTAAAGGGAGAGAATGGGGGAGTGGGTGTGCAGGGTGGAGGGGAATGAAGGGCGGAAATGGGACAACTATAACGGCATAATCAATAAAACATATTAAAAAGAAAGTTGAGTATTACTTGAAGTTATAAATGACGGGAGATAAAAGGAGAAATACACAGAAACAAAGCAATAATAAGAAATTTAAATTTATTTCTACCAGTCTGAGAAAACAAATAAAAATAAATAAGAAAATAAATTATCTGAACATAATCAAAATGGTAGTGTGGATGGATATTCATGTAACACTATCAAATAATTTACCACATTTTTGAAGATTATTGAACTTTTGTAAAAATTGACCAAATATTAGGCTACAAAAATATCTCAACAAATTCTAAAAGTAGAAATATAAAACATTCTCTGATTAAACAACACAACAGAATGAGAAATTTATAACAAAATCAGAAAAAAAGAGATCTCCAATCTGAAAAATTAGAAAGTCTCACAAACAATACTGGATAAACAGGGAAATAAAAATAAAATTTGTGCTGTTTCTACAAAATATAAAATTACTACATATTAGAAGCTTTGGAATATAACTAAAACAGTGATGAGAGGAAAATTCAGTTTTAAATACTTTATCAGTAAGAAAATAATGAAAGTAAATGAGTTACTAATATAGCTCTGAAAGTTAGAAAAACAACTAAATTAAGCAAAGAAAAGTAGAGGGGAAGGGAAACAGCTAAAAGCATAAATTATGAAAATAAAAAACAGAAAGCAAGGGAGCAAAAAAAAATTCAAAATCTCTTTTGCTGAGGGCAGGGGAAGAGGGTAAGTCATCTGATTAAACTACTACCTCTCCTAATCAAGAGAAAAAATTAAAAGGACAAAGCAAAACATACAAGGTAAGAAATGAAGGTAAACCATAGGAACAGACAAAATTTTCAAATATAAGATACTACTTTATAAAACTCCACACAAATAAATATCAATAAAATAATTTTCTAGTAAGATATAACCTCCCAAAACTGAACCCAGAGAGCCTAAACAGACTTTCACAAAATAAATAGTTTTAAAAGAACTACCTACCTCCAAACAAAACACATAGGTCCCAAGAGTTTACAGGGAAATTCTACCAAATCTTAAAAGAGCGGACAATTTCAGTACTATTTAAAAACTATTGTACATTTAAAAAAACAGAAAACTTTAAAAATTTTAATAAAATGCAACATTAATACCAAAATGTGAAGACTGCCCCAAAAGAGAAGACTGCAGATCAGATTCATCCTACTTTTGTATTTTAATTAAAAGAAGTACTAACAGAATCCAGCATCACATTAGAACTCCAGAAACATTACTTTAGTTCAGTATTTGTTATAAAAAGAGAAATATCGTATCATTAGCTCCATAAGTATTAATTTATGGAGAAAATTCAACATCCATTTCTGACTAAAAGTACTTAATAGGAAGCAACAGATGCTCTTATGCATGTATGTATGCATAATAGGTATACATTATCCTTAATGAGGAAATACTAGAAGCATTCTTTCTAAAGTTAGAAATAAAAAGAAGGTGCCCATTAACCGCTAATGTTTAACATTGTCCTAAATGGACAATATAACCTGTTAGAGGTATAAAAATCCAAACGAAGAGGTAAATCTATCACTATCTGTAGATTAAATGATTATAACTAGATACTCAAAAAAAATTCCTTAAAAGGCAACTATGATCAATAATGGAATTCGTTGAGTCAGAAAAAAATGTTAGTGTATAGAAATCTAAAGCCTTCATGTATATAAACAATAGCCAGTTAGACCTATAAATGCATTTAACGGCAAAAATAAGGGAGAAAATATCCAGAAATGTATAAATTTTACGTGAAGAATACTTTAAAACATTCCTAAGAAAATAAAAGTAATCTTGAACGAATGGAATGGTATAGTATTTTCTTTGACAGAAAGATTCAGTGTTTTAAAGATGCCAGTTTGTCCTAACTTAATTTATTCATATTAGATCTCAATAAAACTAACAGCCTATTCTGTCATGCCTACCGGATCTAAACAAGGTGTTTCTAACACTTATGTGGTAAAATAAGTAACAATGGCCTAGAAAAACCTGAAACAAAAAATGAGACTAGTTCTATTAGATATTAAAAGTCAACAAACTATTGATCACTTTTAAGCGTGTGTGTGTGTGTGTCACACACACACAGGGATAAATTTTTATGCAGCAAAAACAAAAATAAGATTGTATCAAAGGCTTTTAAAAGACAAATAACAACCAACGGATACTGTATGTAATTCACATCACAGAAAAAGGGCTAATCTCTTAGAAAGCACTGTCAGTAAATGAGAAGACCAAATATCCGACAGAAAAAAAAATGGGCAAAAGATATAAACAGTTAACAGGAAAAAAGGTGGCCCTTTATATATTGTGAAAAGATGGTCAAATGGAAAACAAAAGCACATAGTGAAACTAATCCTTGCAAATCTGACAGACAAAAATAACAGGCTGACACCTATGAAGGCAATGGCATAAAGAAATAGGTAGCCTCAATCATTGATGTAAAATAAATATTTATGATCTTGGTGGAGGGCAATCTAGCAATAGCAATCTTAAAACTGCTATTTTGATGGGTGCCCCTGACCCATCAATTCCATTCCTTGGAATTTATCTTAAAGAAATACCTACATATATATGAAATGATGTTCTGAAATGGGATACACTTAAAAAACTGCCCTAGCATATCTAAAGGAGACTTGAAATACACTCCCCCAATGACACATCTCCACAATGGCAGATGCAGCTGAAAATAATGAGCAAACTATGTACTGATTAGAAAGATCCAGGGATCCTTGGAGTAATGGCTGATTCCAGGAATAGGGTAAGAAAAATAAGATGAGCCTGGAATATCTTGTTGTGCCAGAAAGCAAGAAAGTTATCAAAGACTAATGAATTATCAATAGGACATTGTGATTTTTCCACATAAGAATTCCATCTAATGTAAAAAGAGTAACAGAATTAGAAAAAATACCAGTTGATAATCCCTAGTGAAATAAGTGATTCAGGTAATGATGATCAATGAATGGAGTATCAGAAATTGAAAGGTTGACTGTAAAGTTTTAAAGGAGAGATCAGGCCTATTGATCTCTGAACATACTAATCAATCTTAGTATCATTAAAAAATGGGGCCATTAAATTCTGTGTGCCTAATATGATAAAAATATGAAGCACTTATAAAGTACTTTGATCTAGAATTGAACAAGGCCTCTAGGGCCGACTTTCATTTTCAGGAAATATAAGGGATAGAGGAACAAAGTAATGACACCACAAGAAAACAAAAACAAAGCTAGGTTTTTGGATATTCTACAGGACAACTGACAAGAAGCCAATGGCATTAAAAAAAAAAGAAAAAGAAAGGAAAAACCAAACAAAATAAAACCACAGGGAGGGAAATGGGACTACCACATTAAAAAAAGGCATTATAGCCAAATGTAAGGTATGAATCTTGTCTAGACACTGATTAAAACCAACGAACTATAAAAAGATATTTGAAACAATCAGGGAAATGTGATTACAGACAGGGTAGTACAGGCTACAAATAAATGATTATTTTCAATTTTCTTATATATGGCAGGGGCATTCTGACTGTGGGAGAAAACACCCCTATTTTTAGAGTTATGTACTGAATCGGTAGGGACGAGGTAACATTCTGGGATTTGATTTTAAACTACTATAGCAGAGGAAGAAATGGAGAGAGTTTGAGTAAATACAGAAAAATACTGACAATTTGGATAATGGTTATATAGGTGGCAGTTTATCATACTATTCTCTCTACTTTTACACAGGCTCAAAAATCTAAGAGAACACCTAAAAATGCATACAATCAGCTCCACATCATGCATCAGCAGTAGGCACAATGCTACGGGTCATAATGACCAGAAGACTTCTCTTCCCGTAAAACATGCATTTTATAATGAAATAATGACTTATGGTTAAAAGAGCAAAAGTGAGTTATAACAGAAGACTGCTCCGCTAATCATGTCAAAGCTTTTTTTATTTGCTTTCATAGCAAAACAGGACAAGTTCTGTGTAAAGGTTTTCTAAATGAAAGGTATCATAAATATAAGGGTTTTCCAGTATGTCTTAATATACGTCCAAATATTACTTCGAGACACCAGTACATATAATTAAACACAAAATGCACATATACATATTACACACAAACAAGCCATACTGAAATAAACTATTTAATACAGAATTTGGTTTTAGTTCCCTTACCATCAATATTAAGCATCATTTTCCACATGGCAGGCCGAACAGATTGATGGAATCCAAACCACACTTCCCTGCCCCCTCCCAGAGGGTGGTCATATCCTTCTGGAGCTGAGAAAAAGGAACGCCCCACAGGTGTATATCTGCAAAAAACAAAATAGCATGTTCAATCCTTCCTTCCTGTGTAAGTATTTAAATCTGCAGAATAGGTGATCCTACAGCATGTTACCTATACTATCATAATGATGCTTGTCATTATGAATATATGAAACTAAACATTTTCCAATTTTTGAAAACAAGCAGCCATTCTAAATAAAAAAAAGTCAGCATCCTTCACTGAAATTCTCTATTGTTACAACTAATGTTAGTTAGAATAAGAATAAATTTTATTTAAAATACTTTCTTAAAAATAGATTTAAAAAGTTAACAGTTCCAATCTTTTTTTTTAACATTTCCAATCTTAAAAAATGCTATAGTAAATAATCATGGATCAAAAAGGTATTTCTATAAATGTGTTTGTAAGGCATAACGCTTTCTTTATAAAGACACAGCTTATCTGATCCTTTATATATAAGCACAGATACACACATACACATGAGGTGCTAGTATGATTAAAACAACAGCCATTTTAACACAATTTAACACTACTGTATTAACAATAAAATAACCTTTAAAAACAAGGGGATTTAACTATAAGAATATATCTAAAAATATACCAGTTACTCAAGATTTATAGCTCCTAGGAGAAAGGGTTAGACATTTCTCTAAAAAGTATCCATTAGAATAGCTAAACTAGCCCTGGCTGGCATGGCTGATTGGACTGAGTGCTGGCCTCTGAACCAAAGGTTGCCAGTTCAATTCCCAGTCAGGGCACATGCCTGGGTTGCGGGCCATGCCCCTGATAGGGGGTGCAGGGTGCAGGAGAGGCAACCACACACTGATGTTTCTCTCCTTTCCCTGCTCTCTCTCTCTTAAAAACAAACAAACAAACAAACAACAACAACAAAAAACCAAGCTAAACTACCATATTTTTCGGACCATAAGATGCACCTAGGCAAGAAAAAATTTTGAAGCAAAAAATGTGGTAAAATATTTAATAACATAAATGACATAATATTTCGCCAATGTAAATGTAAACAGAATTCAACAGCAGCATTAACTATTATTCCTCCCAAATTTGGCAGGGGGTGGGGTGGGATGTGGGGAACTATGAGTGCATCTTATAATCCGAAAAATATGGTAATAAGGCGTATTAACTGTGACAAGTCAGAATTTTCTGCAACTTATATCTGTCAATGAACTTGTATGTATGCTATTATTCAACTGAAATAATAAAAATATGGAACAACTGAAAGTTAACCAAAGGAGGCCTGCACAACTCTTGGGTGGAAAGTCTTCACATTTAAAATCTAAAGATAAAAAATAAGCCAAAGAACCCACTTCATGGAGGGCAGATGTCGTAGCACCACATCAACGGCATGGACAGGATTAGTGCTGATTGGCTTGTCTAATTCCAGTGGCTCAGGCAAGGTCCGTCCTGTCAGTACTTCATGTAATAGGTGCCAACTCACCCGAGAGACAAACTTGATTGACACCTTGAAAGGTCGATCTTTTCCACCTTCCCCAGGTAAAGTTACATCTAAATCTACCTGTTGATGGGAAAAGATTTATTTGATAAAAGTTGAAAAAGACAAATACAATTATTTCTAAGTTTAACTTATAAAAATATTTAAGAGAAAAAAAGACAAATATAATTAAAAAACCCAATCTAAATGTTAAATCAAGAGACTAAAATTTAAATGACAGTTATTTATGCCAAAATTATTTGTCACTGCAAAATACTGGAAATTGCCTAAATGCCCAAACATTTGGGTAGCTATAAAAAAACGATGAGGAAAATGTCTTGGAATTGTTATGTAATGACTTCCAAGCTAACCTGTTAAGTGGAAAAGAGCAAAGTACAGAGGATTACAAATAGTATGTTATCTTTTATGTGAGAAAGAACGGGAAAATGGAACAATTTTTATGCATCTGTTTATTTATGTAAAAACAAACACTGGATGCGTAAACCAGAAACAAGGAAATTGGTTACTCTGAACGGGTGGGAAAAAGCAAACTGGAAGAAATAAAAGAGGAATTAACAATTCAGGGTGTATTTCTCAGTATAGTTTTGACTTTTGAAAGCATGTTAAAGTTCTATATATTAAAAATTAAAAATAAAATCAACAAGGCTGGAGGAAAAAGACTAAAACTGAATATAAACAAAATCAAATGAAACCAAATGCATTTCAAATGAATAATACACCACACCAAAAGAAGAGAAAGCAAGAAAGAAAACACTAATCCAAGTAACTTTTTTAAAAAAATTAATTTATTTATTTTCAGAAAGATGAGACAGGAGGGAGAAAAAAAGGGAGAGAAACATCAATGAGTGAGAGAAATATTGATTGGCTGCCTCTTGCAGGCCCCCAGCTGGGTACCTGGCCTGCAACCCAGGCATGTGCCCTGACTGGGAATCAAACCAGCAACCTTTTGGTTCGCAGGCCAGGATTCAATCCACTGAGCCACACCAGCCAGGGCCCAATCTAAGTAACTCTTGCACACCATATACTGACTCTACTCTCAGTTGGGAGTTTGGAAGAGGGGTGAGTAGGGAAGAATGGCCTACAGAATAAAACTCTGAACTCTTATTACTAGGTTTGTTTTCTGCAGTGGTATGGTATAGTAATTCAGATACTGTTTTATATGTACTGTAGGATCAAACACATAAGCAAAAGTGGTGATGTTTTGGGGAGCTAGGGGATTAAAAAAGATTCAAGTATTTGTTTGTTTTTAAATATATTTATTTATTTATTTTTAGAGAGGGGAGGGGGGGGAGAAAGAGAGGGAGAGAAACATCTATGTGACTCTTGAGTGCCCCCTAACTGGGGACCTGGCCCACAACCAGGCATGTGCCCTAGACTGGGAATCGAACTAGTGACCCTTTGATTCAGAGGTTGGTGCTCAATCCACTGAGCCACACCAGCTAGGGCAGAAGATTCAAATATTTAATGTGAAGAATTAAGGAAGAATCCTATGAGGATAGACTAGAACTGGAAGAACCAATTTGAAGTCATGATTTTCAACATACAACAAACTGTATGTTATATACAAACAGTGGTACTTGTAGGATACCTAAAAGTCAGGTTTACTGTATGCCGTGTAGCATTTGTTACTGTCTGTTAGTTGGATCAAGTATGTATGTGTGTATGTATGTATTCCTACCTCTGTCCACTGGAAGGGCCTGGAAGCACACATACCCCAGTAGCAATGAGCACATGCAATAAACCAGAATTTGGTTTCTAAACTGTGTTCTCCAACTAAAAGAAACCAGTCTTCCTTTGAGAAATGGCAGTTGCAGGACTTATGCAGGGAAAAAAGATAAGATGAGCCTGGAACAGCTCGTGCCACAAAGTAAGGAAGTACTCAAAGGAAAAAAAAAGATGTGTATCATGTCAAAAGGACACAGGAACCAATTTGAGCAGTCAAATTAAATAGAATAAATACACAGAGGAGAAGAAAATCCTCTTCCTTACTGTAGAATATCACCTAATAAATGTAGAAGGAATGAGATAATTAGGAAATCACCATTACTATACAGAAATAATTTTCCAAGCAAGAATCATCAATTATTTAAAAAGTCTATTAAAAAAGACAGAAAACTGTACTTGAACAATTAAAATAAAAAAGAAAATAAAAGTAAAAAGTCTATTAAGAAACAAGATTCTTAAAAGTACTAACCATATCAAAATTAAAAACTTCTGTGCATCAAAAGCAGTAAAGTGAAAAGGTAACCAATAAAATATGAAGAAATATTTGCAAATCATATACCTGATAATACATAAAGAATTCCTAAAACTCAACAATAACAACAAAACTCAATTAAAAAATGGGCAAAACACTTGAATACACATTTCTCAAAAAAAAAACAAAAAAAAAACCCCACAAATGGCCCATAAGCACAAAAAAAGATGCTTAACATCATTAGTAATTAGGAAAATTCAAATCAAAACCACAATCAGGTATCACTTTATACACATTAGGATGGCTATTATCAACAAATAAGAAAACAACAAGTGCTGACAAAAGTGTAGAGAATTTAGAGACTTCATGTACTGTCGGTATAAATATAAAATGGTACAGTTGTTATGAAAAGCAGTATAGTGATTTCTCAAAACATTAAAAATAGAATGACTACTTATGTGATCCAGAAACTCCACTTTTGGGTATGTACACAACAAAACTGAAAGCAGGGACTAGAACATGTATTGCTACAACCATGTTTACAGCACATTATTTGCAATAGCCCAAAGGGATTCATCAATGGATGGACAAACAAGAAAATGTGTACACACACACACACACACACACACACACACACACACACACACAGAAATGTTATTCAGCCTTAAAAAGGCAGAAAAATCCCTACACATGTGACAACAAAGATGAGCCTTGAGGACATTGTGCTAAGTGAAATAAGCCAGTCACAAAAATATATACACATATAATTCCACTTATATGAGGTAATGGGAGTAGTCAATTCATAGAGACAGAAAGTAGAATGGTTGCCAGGGAGGGTTGATGTTGAATGGGTACAGAGTTTCAGTTTTACAGGATGAAAAGAGTTGTGGAGATGGATGGGTGGTGATGGTTGTGAATATACTCAATGTCACAGAACTGAACTTAAAAATAACTCAGATGGCCCTGACCCATGTGGCTCATTTGATTGGTCATTGTCCCACAAAGCTAAAGGTCACTGGTTCGATTCCCAGTTAGAGTAAATGCCTTGGTTGTGGGTTCCTAGTTGGGGCACCTGTGAGGGATAACCAAATTGTTTCCCTCAACTAACTGGTATTTCTCTCCCTCTCTTTCTCCCTTCCTTCCCCTCTCTCTAAAAATAAGTAAATGCAATCTTTAAAAAAAGGCTAAAAGAAAAAATATTTAGGACATTAAAAAGTGTTAAGAGCTTTTTTTCCTTTAAATGGTTCGAATAGTAAATTTTATGTTGTGTATTTTACCACAATTTCTAAAAAAAGTTATCTCTTCACAAGATCAAGGAGAAAAAGAGTCACTTTGACAGGAGAAACCTGGAAGATCCTAACTGAACCAAGCGATCAAAGATAACATCACCATTAATGGAAGAAATACATATTATGTGCTTCTCGATATGATGCACCGATAAGGAAAGAACACATGTAATATTTCTGCCAAAAATGCTTAATCAGTATCTAATAAAGAGGAAGCATCAGATAAACAGTCTGAGGGACAGTCTAAAAAAAACTGAAACTCTGTACCCATTCAACATCAACCCTCCCTGGCAACCATTCTACTTTCTGTCTCTATGAACTGACTACTCCCATTACCTCATATAAGTGGAATTATATGTGTATATATTTTTGTGACTGGCTTATTTCACTTAGCACAATGTCCTCAAGGCTCATCTTTGTTGTCACATGTGTAGGGATTTTTCTGCCTTTTTAAGGCTGAATAACATTTCTGTGTGTGTGTGTACACATTTTCTTGTTTGTCCATCCATTGATGAATCCCTTTGGGCTATTGCAAATAATGTGCTGTAAACATGGTTGTAGCAATACATGTTCTAGTCCCTGCTTTCAGTTTTGTTGTGCACATACCCAAAAGTGGAGTTTCTGGATCACCTGCCTGCCATCTTCAACCATGTTAATGTCATGGAAGGAAGGAAGGAAGGGAGGAAGGAAGGGAGGAAGGAAGGGAGGAAGGGAGGGAGGGAGGGAGGGAGGAAGGAAGGGAGGGAGGGAGGGAGGGAGGGAGGGAGGGAGGGAGGGAGGGAGAAGGAGAGGGAGGGAGGGAGGGAGGAAAGAAAGAAAAAGGCTGGGGAACTGTTCCAGAACAAAGACAACAAGAAAGACATGACATGTAAATAAAAACATAATCCAGGACTTGATTCTGTACTAAAGGGAAAAATATGCTAAAGGACATAATTGGAACAAATGACAAAATTAGAATATGGGTTGTTGATTAGATAAAAGTATCATATATCACTGTAAAACTTAGTAAAGTTGATAACTGTACTATGGTTTTTATATTTGTTCTTACGGAATACACATTAAAAAGCATGGTACATGCAACCTACTCTTGAGTGGTCCAGAAAAAATAAGTATATATATCTCTATATATATCTATATATAGATATATATAGATATATATAGATATACCTCTATCTATTAGATATAGAGACAGCAAAGCGGAGAAAGAAAGAGAATAATAAAACAAATGTGGCAAATATAAAGAACACTGGTGAGTCTTAGTAAAGGATACACATGAGTTCTCTACATAATTCTTACAAGTTTTCCATATGCTTGAAATTATTTCAAAATAAGAAGTTAAAAAAGATAAATGATAAAATAAAATGAAAATAAGTGCATTTAAAAGGAGACACTGAAAAAATATAGCTTTCCGAAAACCGAGCACACATCTTACCCCAGTAGTTGCCACAGGAAGTGGATTGGCTGTGTAAAGGCTTCTTTTTCCATCATAAACTGGTCTACGGTCCCCAAATATAGTTACTTTAAAATGCTGAACCATTGAGTCAACCACCTCCCTAAAAAAGGGAATACAGTCACATAATCCTCTATATGATGAACTTTGAAAAAATTTAGCTAAAGTAATTTCTTACATTATTTAAAGCTATCAAAATTCTAAGACAATCACACATGATAAAATTTTTGCTTTCAGAACTATGGCTTAGGATACCAGAAGGGGATGATCTGAACTTCACAAAAACAGAGAGGAGTGAAGTCAGGGAATTACTTAATCGTTCTGGGTCACAGTTGACCTGGGAAATACTAACCTCAGAGACTAATCCAAGATCCCTTTCACCATCACCTGACTCATTCACCTCTTATTGTCAGAGTTTGTGTGCTCAAACAGCAACTAGGACATATATCTATGGGAACACTTACTCCATTGTATTAGAGTTATTATATATTCCACTTCTAGTAGACTGTGAAATTCTTGACAGCAATAAACACAGCTGGACCTCACACCACCCCTATCCTTTTACCCCCCGCCCCCCAACTTTTACCATAGTATTAGCTAGTAAGGATATTTTGAAACCTGTTTTTACCCAGCAAATATTTTTGTCCCACATACTTACATGGAAAGATATTCAAGACATACTTTAAAAAAAAAAATACGGACTACAGAGAGAATTACCAAATATCCAATAGTCAATATTTATTTTATATACACATTCTTTGTGAAAGCAGCAGAAAGATATCCACAAGGATAGAGACCAAAATACACACAATGGCTGATACCTCTGGAGAGAGAGGTGGAGAGAATCTACAAAATTTTATTTTGTTTATATGAATCTAAAATATATTATAATAAAAGTATACTTACATAGTACTGGTATAATTTATAATACACTTGAAAGAATTTAAAAAAAAATTAAGCCCTGGGTAGTGTGACTGAGTGGACCGAGCCTGGGAACCAAAGGTCCCAGGTTCGGTTCCCAGTCAGGGCACATGCCTGGGTTGTGGGCCAGGTCCCCAGTTGGGGGCGTTTGAGAGGCAACCTATCCATATATCTATTGCACATTGATGTTTTTCTCCCTCTCTTTCTCCCTCCCTTCCTCTCTCTATAAATAAATGAATAAAACCTTAAAAAAAAAGATTCAATGCTAGCCTAGTCAAGTGAATAGATAAGAGGGAAAGGAGAAAAAAAGTGTTTTCTGGAACAAAATAGTTAAGCTGATTTGATACCCAGAGCAATTATCTCCATGTTCAATGATTCTATATTCCCCCTCTTTTCTATTTTAGCAAAATTATTTAAATCAAGTCTTTTCCAGACCAAATTTTACAACAAAGATTTCATTCACTGATCAGTTTTTAGGTACAAAACAAATGTCAAAGATTTCACCATATATTCCCCATATCATATATGGTTATCCTCCTGTTTATTACTACTTTTTAATTACTGGTACCTCTGTCTTTTCACTTATCCAGATTCGAAACATGGTTCATCTCTTCATTCAATTAGCTGCTGATTCCACCCCTCTGCAGTTCTTTCTTTGCATATATTTTTATTTTTTTAGAGAAAGGGGAAGGAGAAAGAGAGAGAAACACTGAATGGTTGCTTCTTGCATACCCTCAACTGGGGACCTAGCCCACAACCCAGGCTTGTGCCCTGACTGGGAATTGAACCAACACCCTTTGGTTCACAGGCTCTCATTCAATCCACTAAGCCATACCAGCCAGGGCTGCAGTATTTCTTACATCAGTCCTTTATTTTCTATTCCTCAGTACTACTATCCTACATTAAAACTTCATGTCCTAGTATTGATACCTGAATTATTTTTTTCTTGTTTATGTCTTTAATTTTTTTCTTCTCTAACCCAATTTACATACCACTGCCAAATGAGTCCCCCAATTCCCCTTGTACTCCTTAGGTACAAAAGGTTAAGTTAATCACACTCCTCAGTGTATGGTACATTATCATCATTCATCTGGATAAGATCCCTCCTCTGATTTCTTTCCTTCCGTCTTCATTTCTTTTGCTCAAACCCATTCCCAGTAAGTTATTTCTTCTAATGTGTTGATGAATATCCTTCTGTTTGTATATACTCCTACCTTTACTCTCTGCACTAGGTTTTTGAAAACAAGTTGCTTTGGGATATCTAGTTGTTTGATTGATGCAAAGTACTCCACATGTTGTCTATTCACTGCCAGCTACCAAAAAACAAAGCTACCATGCGGTACCTCATTTTATGGCCCTCTATGAACCTGTGTGAGAAGTAATCTCTGGTCATATTCCTAGAAACAGAACTATTAGACCCAAGTGAGTTTTATCAACTAGATGGTGAACTGCCAAACTGCTCTCCATAGTGGCTGCACTAATCTATACTCCTGGAGATTCCTATTTCACTACATCCCAGACAAGATTTGGCATTATCCAATTTTGCTTTCTTATTTTTGCGAGCCTAGTGGGCAAAACTAAAGGCTTATTTTAATTCAGGCTTTTCTTATTAAAATGAATTTGAGCATCTCCTCGTGTGTCTGTTTCTTCTTTTATGAATGCCCTATTTGTTTCCTTTGCTTTTTCTCTGTTTGGGTACCAGTCTTCTTATCGAATTAAAGTAGTTTCTTTGACATTCTCAATATTAATTCATTAACAGATTTAGTTATTGCAAATATCTCCCCCAAAACATTACTTGCTTGTTAACAAGATTCATGTACTTGTTGAAATGAAATTCTTACTGCTGTATCAAATTAATAATTATTTTCACCTTATGGTTTCATGTTTTTGAGGGTTTAAGAAATACTTTCCAAATACTACATCACAAAGATGCGTTCAGTTTTATTAACTTTATGGTTTTATATGCATTATTGTGGTTGTTAATCTGTCTGAGGCCCTTCTTTATAAAGAGTGCTATGTAAGAACTCAATTTTATTTTTCCCCTTACTGTGAGCCAGTTTTCACATACCATCTACTGAAAAGTCTGTAATAACCAGTCAATTTATAATTCTATTTTATAATTTAAAAATTTTATCTTATTGATTATGCTATTACAGTTGTGCCAATTTCCCCCTTTGCCCCCCCCCCCCCCCCCCCCCCCACTGCCCAGTACTTCCTGTTTCCTCTGGTAATCTCCCTACTTTAGTTCATGTCCATGGGTCATGCATACAAGTTCTTTGGCTACTCCATTTCTTATACTGTTTTTACTACCTCCCTGTCTATTCTGTACCTACCAATGTGTACTTCTTAATCCCTGCATCTTTCCCCCATTTTTCCCCATCCCCCTCCCAAATGATAATCCTCCAAATGATCTCCATATCTATGATTCTGTTTCTGTTCTGCTGTTGCTTAGTTTGTTATTTGGATTCAATTACTGATAGCTGTGAATTTACTGCCATTTTAATGTTCATCGTTTTGATTTCCTTTTTCTTATATAATTCCCTTTCATATTTTATATACCAATGGCTTGGTGACGATGAACTCCTTAGTTTTACCTTGTCTGGGAAGCACTTTATATGGCCTTCAATTCGAAATGATAGCTTTGCTGGATAGAGTAATATAGGTTGTAGGTCCTTGCTTTTCATTACTGTGAATACTTCTTGCCCATCTCTTCTGGTCTGCAAACCTCCTTTGGAGAAATCACTTGACAGCCTTATGAAAACTCCTTTGTAAGTAACTATTTTTCTCTTGCTGCTTTTAAGATTCTCTACTTATCGACTTCCAGCCAAGATGGAGGCATAGGTAGACACACAGTGCCTCCTCACACAACCAGAATTAAGGACAACAAAAATTTAGAAACAAACAAACAAAAAAACCCAACCAGAGCTGACAGAAAATTGAACTGTTTGGAAGTCAGACAACCATTCATCCGTACCAGTAAGAGGGGTGTAGTGGGGGGCCGGTGGAGAGAGGTCGTGGCAGAAAAAAGCAGTGGCTTGTGGACCTCGGGCATGGGGAGGCAACGAGCAGAGCCAATGAGGCGCGCAAGGTGGCTGGCTGACCACGGTCACAAACTGGTGCACAGGTAAACCAGGCGAAAATGGGGAGCAAGACAGACTATACAACCCAGGGCCCCAGCACTGGGAAATAAAGCCTAAAAGCACTGATTGAAAAAACTTGAGGGGGTTGAGGTGCCGGGAGAAACTCCCAGCCTCACAGGAGAGTTTGCTGGGGAGACCCACAGGGTCCCAGAACATACACAAGCCCACCCACCCAGGAACCGGCATCAGAAGGGCCCAATTTGCTTGTGGGAAGCAGCAGAAGGGACTGACTAAAATCCCAGAAGGGGAACAAGCGCCACTGCCCCTCTCTGACCCAGCCCCCATATACAGCATCACAACCCAGTGACTGGGTTGCCCCGCCTTAGTGAACACCTAAGGCTCCACCCCTCACTACATAACAGGTACAACTAGACCCCCCCCCAAAAAAAAGGCTCTAACAGAAGAACAGATCAAAGCCCCAGAGCCAATACTTTTAAGTGACCAAGAGACAGCCAACCTATCATATGCACAGTTCAAAACACTGGTGATCAGGATGCTCACAGAACTGGTTGATTTTGGTCGCAAATTAGATGAAAAAATAAAGGCTACACTAAATGAAATGAAGAAAAATACACAGGAAACCAATAATGATGGGAAGAAAACTGGGACTCAAGTCAATGGAGTGGACCAGAAGGAAGAAAAAAAATGACCAAACAGAAAAGAATGAAGAAACAAGAATTCAAAAAATGAGGAGAGGCTTAGGAACCTCCAGGACATCTTTAAACGTTCCAAGATTCAAATTATAGGGGTACCAGAAGGGGAAAAGGAAGAGCAACAAGTGGAAAACTTATCTCAACAAATAATAAAGGAGAACTTCCCCAATCTGGCAAAGGAAATAGACTTCCAGGAAGTCCAGGAAGCTCAGACAGTTCCAAAGAAGGTGGACCCAAGGAGGAACACACCAAGGCACATCATCATTACATTAGCTAAGATTAAAATGAAGGAGAGAATCCTAGAAGCAGCAAGAGATAAAGAGACAGTAACCTACAAAGGAGTTCCCATCAGACTGTCAACGGATTTCTCAAGAGACCTTACAGACAAG